TCTCGCTTCTGTAGCTGTTGCAAATGGAACCGTAACCCTCCGGTGAGTATAAAACTGATAAAGGAGTTTCTTCCTGACTCAAATGATTTTAGTGAACGCGATACAACAGACCAACGTATCGGAAAAATCGATGAGGTGATTGCAGTAGTGTCCGATCTCGTGGAAGGAGTGTGCACTTGGGATGAGGCATGTGGACGACTTCCTGCATACAGTGGCGTTCAGGCCATAGAAAACGCTTAGAGATGGAGATGTAAAGTAGGAAAAAGTGGAAAATGGTATCATCTGAGCCTAAACAAGAATAACAACTGAGATAGTACAGAATTGATGCATATACAGTGAAGATCATGGAATAGCGATTAGACCACATTGGAAAACCCTAGTGCGGACACCCTCAAATATCCTAGCACGAGATCTCGATACGACTTGTGAACAAACTGGAGACAAGCAAGTGTCGGTGTTACTGTCCGAAGGATCATAGTACCCCCATTTTCTGCAAATTAGAGCGGAGAATGCTTTCTCCAACTAGAGTAAGGTTAGATGAGCTCATATTCTTTGTGCTGTGGTTGAACTTACCATGATCCAGAATCGCGTTGGTAGCTTTAATGTCCTAAGATTGGTATCGACCACAACAAGTTGAGGTTTAGGCAACACATGGATAATGAGATGGCGCATTATGCATGCGACTGTTGGGACGCGGAAATATTGGTCTCATCTGGATGGGTGGAATGCGTTGGTTGTGCTGATCGTTCGGCATTTGACCTTACCCAGCATACGAAAGCTACTGGACGTTCATTGATTGCACAAAAGCCCGTCGACCCACCTAGGTTTGTCCATACGACAGAACCGGAATGGAACAAAAAGGAGCTGGGACTCACGTTCAAGAAGACTTCACAAGTTATCATGAAGACGGTCGAGTCATTGCCGACAGATGAACTGGAGAAAATCAGAGCAGCTACAGATAATGAGCAAGTAATCCCCCTCAATGGGCAGTTGAAAGAGCTAACAGATCTATAGGCCATACAAATTGACTCTAGAGACCGGGGAGTGCATCGATCTCTCGCCAAAATACGTCAAGATTGTTGATAAAACAACCAAAGTGACTGGTATGACCATGCTCCCATTCACCCGAAGGGAATTAACACTACACACCTAGTGGAGGATTTCACACCCAATGTCATCGAGCCCTCTTTCGGTCTTGGACGAATACTTTATGCATTGCTGGAGCATAGCTACTGGGCTCGTGAGAGCGATATCGCTCGAGGAGTCTTGTCTCTACCGCCATTGGTAGCTCCGATCAAAGTCCTTATTGTTCCAATCTCCTCCCAAGAGGTCTTCAAACCGATAATTCACGAGATTGGTCCGTTTATTGTATCGCGGAATCGTATCTCTATTGACCATTGAATAGCCATGAAACTTCGAAAAGCTGGAATATTCTCACGGGTGGATGACTCCAGTGTCACTATTGGACGGAGATATTCGCGTAATGATGAGTTGGGAACTCCCTTCGGTTTGACCATCGACTTTGCTTGTAAGCTACCCAGGTGCATCCGAAGTCTACTAGTATTGATCTCGCTTCTGTAGC